AGAGAACTGTACGCGTCAACTTTCGAAGTTAGGTAATTACACCTTGTTGGTATATGATTACGAAAAGTAATAAAACTGTCTTCCAAATTACACCTCTAATTAAACGATTTTCGCAACTGAACGCTAGTCAGTAACTAGTGTGATGTGCGTGTGTCTAGTCCTATCTGCGGTGCAGACTGAATTCCATCGGTCAGTCAGGTTTGCAATGTGGTCACCATGCCACCACTAGGTGGCTCGGCATCATGGTGCACTTTGAATTGTTGGTATTAAGTGGTTAGAGGCAATCAACAGGAAGCCTTCGACACCACCTGGGTTTCGTGCTAGTTGGCACTCACTTGCCAGCAAAGCGTGTCTGCAACCTCGAATGAAGTCATATCCCTTCTTGTCTTGCTAATTATTATTATTATTATTGTTTCCTTTAATTCCTAGAGGAATATAGGGCTTCAGCCGTGCGTCTCCATTGAATTCGGTTCTCTGCTAGAGTCTTCACCTGGCTCCAAGTCTGCCCACACGTTTTCATCTCCTCATCACTTGACCTCCTCCAACTCACCCTTGCACTGACGACCAACTCGCCGCTTCCCGTTCGGCCAGGTTCCACTCGAGGGCTTGTCTAGTGATGTCACTTGATGGTTTCCTCAGAGTATGGCCAATCCATCTCCATTTCTTCCTGCCTATTTGTTTCACAATCGGTTCCTGCTACAGAAACTTCAGCACGATGTATCTCCTTGTCTTGCTAAATGACTGATGATAAGTGCCAACTACCACGAAACCTAGGCGGTATCTAAGGCTTCCTGTCGATTGCCTCCAGCCACTTAATGCCAGTGGAAAAAAAGCCAATCTACTTTCAGCTTGATTATAAAGGTGAAAATATTACAGCGATGATCAACAGAAGGCTGAGTACATCACTAGCTATAGCCTATCCTGCAGCCAAGCTCGTTCCAGTCTATCGAACAACTTGCTCTTTGGTGCAATCAAAAATCGATAGATATCCTTCTCATGTTAACAACTCCAACTGTATATACAAATTTACATGTATCTGCGGAAGCAGTTACATTGGAAGAACAGAAAGAAGAAGGGCATATCTCCGATTTTCTGAACATGTACCAAAAAGCTTATGTCTAAAGGGAACAAATGCTTTAAACAGTGCCATAGCCAGGCATCTCCTCGACACGGGTCATTAGGGGGAAATCGAGAAATCCTTTAAAATTGTCAATAGACAAAGGAGCTCCATTCTACTCAAGTTCACCGAAGCAATTTCTATCAAACGCTTCAAACCAGATTTATGTGTTCAGAAAGAAGCAGTTATTAGTCTTTCCTTGCCATGGTAACTGGATGTCTTTATTCTCTACTCTGATAACGTAATCTTTGTCTTTAACCTCACCCCTCGTTTTTATAATCTGTAATATTGCTTGTCTCTTGTTTCTATGACATGATTTGAACTCAGTACATCGTTACCAAATTTATTAGTTACTCATCATCTTACGCATCTCTCGTCTTTATTACGTAACTCCTTTACCATTGTATGCAAACATTTATTTTGTTTAAAGTTGAACTGCCTGTGTAAAAAGTATATAAGCACAATTTTCTGAGCACTTTTCACTAATTGTGTAACTTTCTGTCAACTGACAACATGTAAAATTTGCAAGTATGTTAAAACTTTTCTGTACACAAAGCTCACAATTTATTTGGGCTGTAAGCAGCTGATGAGAAGCCAACGAAATAAATGGTGGTACCATATTAATCTGTACAAATCACTGTTGTTCTTGTTTTATTTAAATTCATCAAGGGGAATAAACGCATGAATTTTCTCAATAATGCCTGGTCCTTAGTTTGGCACAGACTGAATTCGCATATCAGTCAAGTTCGCAACGTGGCCACCGTGTCATTAACTGGCTAGCTTACTATCACAGTGCACTTTGAATTGTTGATATATTAGAGAGTTGGAGGCAATCAGCAGAAAGCCTTCGACACCATCTAGGTTTCGTGTTAGTTGGTACTCGCCACCCGGTTCTGTAGTCAAAGAGACGTTACCACTGGGTGACGCAAGTTCGAATCTCAGACGGGGGGACATGAGTTTCTTCAAGATTGTAGATACGCCTTGCAAACTGACTGATGAGTGTCCAAGACTTCCTGTGGCCGACTGCCCCCAACCATCTAATTCCAATGAACGATATTGTTCTACCGTGTATGTGCATTAGATATATCCAATAAAACAGATTTTGATATGGAATTACATGCTACCACAGTTGCAAAGTTTTATAATAAAGCGTCCCAAGGATGAGAACGCACGGGTGACCTTGAGCCGACCAATCATAAAAATGAGGAACTTTTGCACAAAAAATGACGTATATTTACAAGAAAAAAATGCATGAAAACACATTTTAAACAGGGTATCTTTCTCTGACGTGACTTAAAAATATATCCCAGTTATAATGAGGCTTATCAGTTGCTAAGTTACACTAGTTTCTGTACAGGTATTCACCAAGGTGACTGAAGATGACCTATTTTTCTGAATCGTTTATCTCTCTTATCCCGTTGTACAGTCTTCTCCAAAAGCCAGTAAGACGATTGACGACCACTTAACAGGACAAATCGACGGTGTGGCAATGGGGTCACTACTAGGACCCAGTCTAGCCAACATTTCCCTTGCGAAACTAGAAAATGGACCTTTGACCGATGTTATTAACGAACTGGAATTCTATTGTCGGTACATAGATGATACATTTTTGATTATGAAAAATGAAAAAGGAAGCAAAGAACATCCTGCATGGACAAATTTAACGAGGTTTATCCTGCAATAAATTTTACTATTGAGAAAGAAAAAGACTCTAGTATTTCATTTTTAGACGTTCTTCTGACCAGAAAAGAGGATGGCGCAATAAGAAGAAGTGTTTATAGAAAACCTACATCAACTGACTGTCAGTATACTCATTTTCTCAGCTTCATGCTCTTGAAATACAAACGCAATCTGATGAAGTGCTTGGTTCATAGAGCAAGAGCAACTTGCTCGGATGGGTATCTTGATGAGGAACTTAATAATATTAAACGGTTGCTAAGTGAAGATGGTTATCCGGAAAAGTTTATTCATAAGAATATGAATCTAAAATCAAAGCAGCCCAAGGTACCAACAGTTTCAAAAAAAGCCTTATTCTTAAAAATGCAGTTCCTTGGGGACAACATCAGCGAGATAATAACACAAACGCCTTAGAAATGAGGTGAAAAGAGCATTCCCTGCTGCCGAATTTCGTTGTGTCTTCAAAACCACTCCTGTTTTATGTTCGGGAGTAAAAGACAAACTACCTAATTTCGCCTCTTCCATGTGTATCTACCAATTTAACTGCTCCTGTGGAGCCAGTTACTTGCATACGCCGTACAATTAGGCGTGTTTCTCGTCGAATTTCCGAACATCACCCTGTGGGGTTGTTTAAGTAAAGGACAAACAAAATCTATTCTCAGTGCTATTCTATCTCATCTTGTGGATACAGAACACAAGATTGACGTTAACCATGCTTTCAGGGTCATATACGGTATACCTACGAATCTCAATTTTGCCTTAAGAGTTCGACTACTAAGGATTACTGAGGCTGACTGTTGGGATCCATATTAAGAAGCCTAATTTGTGCATCCAAAAGAAGCTGTTAGTTCAGACATTATCCTTACCTTGGCCATCTAGGTTTGAATGATCCTGAATTTTTGTGGAATTTTTCTAATTTTAGTTGATATTCTATTTGCTACTATATCTTTATTATTATTATTATTATTATTATTATTATTATTATTATTATTATTATTATTATTATAACTTAAGCATCTTTAATGAACTATAATTCCACTTTGATCTTACTTTACAAATCGATATTATTTAAAAAGCACTAATATTGTTATTGACTACTAATCTAGAATATTCTATGTATATAAACACATGTATATAATTGTAGAGCCAGAACAGGAAATTATCAAAAGGGGGATATTCTTTGCTCAATTATTTTGTGTTTTATAGATGTCTGAATGAATATTTTTGCTATATTAAAATAAATGACATCAACTCTAAATCCACTTCTAATCGTAACCCTTACCCTAGATTAAACACTAACCCTAATTACAATCGTAATTCTAACCCTAAAGAGCTATTAACGAGCTATTGTCCAAAAAGTCCTTAAAAACGTGATCTGGGTAAAATTTGCTCCCTAGTTGGTGAATAGCATTAATATTTCATTTATGATAATATAACAGGCACCGTTAGCCAAAAGACTACCATGCGCTCAAAGTCACAGGAGCGTTCGTACTCCTGGGAGGCTAATGTTGAACTTCGCCTGTCGCCATTTGTTACAAGGGCGATATACCAAGTGAGTTAATTACAAAGAAATTAAGAAAATCAGTTCAAAGGACTTTTAATGCTGGCGAACTACACGTCTTATTCTCTACAGGACCGATGGTGCTACCTCGACTGAAACATGAAGTACCTAGACTAGCCACTTCAAATTGTATTTATCAATCCAACTGCGCTTGTGGAGCGAGTTATATTGGCCGTTGCTCTAGGAACTTGATTTTTCGCGCTCGAGAACATATCCCACTATGGATAAGTAAATGTGTAGTTAAAACTATTAACAGCTCGATATTAGACCATCTGGTGCAAACCGGTCACAAAGCCAGCGTAGACGAATCCTTCTCCATAATATACCGGGTGCCTAACAAACTACCAAAGTCGTCGAAGCATCGCAGGCTCCAAACAGCAGAGGCTATTGCAATTCGCCTCAAACAACCAGTGTTCTGTGTCCAAAAGAAACAAGTCCAGCCCCTACTCCTGTCCTGGCCCTCAGTAGAAACTACAAACTCATGAATTTGTACCATTACCTTTCCTAATTCTTCTGGCATTCAGCTTATTTTATGTTGATGTTTTTGTTACAAAGCCAAATTATAACTAAGTGATTGATAAATACAAAACCACAACCACAGACACATTCACACACATTCACACACACTCTCTCTCTCACGCTTACCTTAGGCAGTTTCATATCTTTAATATCCCATAAATGACGTTGAGTATGTGGGGTTGAATTCTCATTAGATGGATTACAGTGAATAGTGTTCTCGACAGTATTATTATTATTACTATTGGTAGTAGTAGTAGTATTAGTATTGTTATTATGATTGTTCTCCGAGAGACTATTCAACTCCGTACCACATGTAGACAGTGAGCATTGTTCACTTTGATCTGATTGCATCATCATCATCTGATTATGATTATGATAATGATTGTAACTCAGTAAATAACAAGAATCTGGATTAATTGAAGGCAAATAATCAATACCATTGGTAGAACTTGTAGCACCACTGTCATCATAAACACTTTTATACGCTTTGTATGTTGTCTTCTTGCATTGTTCATCACTGGTGTTATTTCTCGGATGATTATGATGAGCAACCGTGAGAGGAGGTAGAAAGGGGACAGATTTCTTTGATGGTGTATCATCAATCGATAGATTATCATTGATATTCTTTGATGTATATGTATAAGTAGTATAAGCTGGATTACATAACAACAACATATCATTGTTCTCATGAGGATCGATTTTTTGATGATAATCCTCATGTTTGACAAAATGATTCACCGACTGGATTGATGGCAAGCGTATTTGACGATTGTTTGGGAAATTCTCTGAACCCAGGTGATCAGAGTTACTTTGATAAGAATTATTACTATTATTAGTAGTTGTGGTATTATTGAAAAAATATGCGGGTCCACCGAGTTGTGTACTTGTATTTGTGAGTATTTCAACAGATTTTGTACTTGTCATGCTAATAATACTGGTGACTGGTGGTGTATTGTTGATAGATGATGATTGTAGGGTATACTGGTCGTCGGTATATGCGGGTACTGTATTACCATTGGAATGTGAATCGAATTTACTATCATTGCTATTACTGCTACTCCCACGACTGCTTCCAGTACTTTCAGCGCTAAAATTACCTTTAGTGTTCATAGAATTCAAGTTCACATCACCACAAATTGTCCAATTCTGTGTGGCTGTTGCTGCCGTTGCCGTTGTTGTTGACATATCATCTAAAACGTACTGCCGACTAGTACCAAGCATTTTTATGTATGTATATATATGCGTTGTTCAATGTCTCTTTTTCTGAGTCATTAAAAGAATTTTTCAAAAAAATGGAAAGAATTTTTTCTGTGTCCAAATCTGTTTTAAAAAAATAATAATAAAGGAATCCGATTAAAAATGCGATAATATTTTAGCAACTCGTGGACAAGATGGAAGGTAGCGGTGTTGGTGGTGGTGTGGAACAGGGGGAGACAGAGAAGGAGACGAAATTAGAACTTCCGGACAAACTTTTGACCAATCAGAAGAGAGGTTTGGTGAAAGAAGACGAAATGCATTTGTCTCTCATTCCATTCTGAGAGATTTGATTGGTTTATAAATTAGTAGTCATTATTTAACCAATCGCATTATTAAAAATGTCAATCAAACTCAGTATAATTCTCCAATAGGAATAAAGATATGTGTTTTTGAAAGCAAAATAGATTTGTTTTCAGCTCTAAATACTTCACGATTTAAAAAAGTCAGTTCCCTGAACAAAAGTGGTGATTTGGAATGGACACAGTTCAGATTATGGAATTTGTGGGCATTTCAGATCAATCTTACAAACTAACATTAGTTAGTTAGACCGATTACTGAAAACCAATGGGGATCTGTTTCGTCCTATTCTGGGACTCTTCACCACTTCACATCAAATATCTTATCCGCCAGGGATCAAATCTGGGACCAATAGGTTACGAGGTAAAACTCATTGCACATTTAGGCAATTGGGGTAGACTTCAATGACTCCTGAATTCTATCTTCGTCAACTCGTGATACAGTCCTGCTCTCATCAGTACCTTCGATGGACATTCACTTCACAGGCTGACATGGTAGACCCCTCTGGTCACGACTTCCCAATTCACCGCCTTATCACGAGTTAACAAAATTAGAATTTAGGCGTCATTGAACTTTAGGCCAAATGGCTGGATAGTTAACGAACTTGCTCGAGTAACGTGAAGGTCCCAGGTTATACCCTTTGGACGCGCTGTGGACATGCCTTGCCGAAGAGTCCCAGGTTAGGACGAAACAGCTGTTCAGTGCTGCTTGGTTTTCAATGACCTATGTAATTGGTGAAAACTTTACAATCCGTAAAGTTACTTATGGGGACAGAAATAGTTTGCATCACCATATTAATAATAATATTATTATTATTATCACTTTCTTGGGTTCCGAGTGGGTCATACCACTTCAACAACACATCTCCACTTTCTCCTGTTTCCTCCTATTCACGATTGCCCACAGTCTCTCATCTCCTCCTCCACCTCCTGACACGATCTCCTCCTACTGGTCACGGCTTCCCACAAGACCCCAGATAGCTACCTACCTGAATAGAGCCAGTAGCTAGTGAGCATCACGTCAATTTCCAAGTATTGATTTAAATTTCAGGGATATTGGAATCAATAATCCAAATCTTTTGTTCCTAAATCAGGTTTCAAATTCCCCAGGGTACCGTGTATATGTGTAAGTTTCGTGCAGAGTCCCATGCTACGGTAATAGACATTTTATATTTTAATTGCATGGAGGATTTCATGATGAGCTGACATCAGTTAGAGAACCATTGGAAAACCTGGGAGTGTTAGACAGCCTTTTGTCCTAGTTTGGGACTCTTCATCAGTATGCACCCAACGGCGTTCGAACCCAGGACCTTCTGGTTACAAGGCGAGCTCGTAGACCATTGAGCCATTGGGACCCGACCCATATCGCGACCACTTCGCAATGTCTTCTTCGATGATGAGTTACTGCCTCATCTTCAACCTGCTGTACCCTACTGGTCACAACTTCCCACTAGAACCCCTCATGAAATCCTCCATGCAATCAAACAAAAATCCCTACAAAAGCAGTAATTGAACATTAATCTGATGCTCACTAGCGACCGGTCCTATTCATGAAGTTAACCTGGGGTTCTAATGGGAAGCCGTGACCAGTAGGGTGCGGCAGGATGAAGGTGAGGCAGTTACTCATCACCGAAGAAGACATTGCGAAGTGGTCGCTCTATGTCGTGCATGAATTGGCAGAAGTTAGAATTCAAGGACCATTTGATCGAGTCCCAGTGGCTTAATGGTCTACGAGCTAGGTCGCCTTGTAATCAGAAGATCCTGTGTTCGAACGCCGCGGTGTGTCTTCGTACTGCTGAAGAGTCCCAAGCTAGGACGAAACAGCTGTCTAGTACTGCCAGCTGGTTTTTCAATGGTTCTCTAACTGATGTCAGCTCATGATGAAATCCTCCATGCAATCAAACAAAATCCCTACAAAAACCAATACTTGAAAATTTCACAGTTTAAGGAAAGGAATAAAATGCGTGGTGCTACACACTACTGATTAACTGACATGAGTAATATGATACCACTCACATCAACCAGTAGTACTTGCCAGCCAGCCAGCTAGACAGACAGACAGTGATCTAAATACTAGACAGTGGTTTCACTCGTCTAGGGGTAGAGCTTATCACTGGGGTGTACCCTAATTCTGACTAACTACCTGAGCTAATTGGTAATGCATGCCATCATAATCGTCCTTAATTTTACAAATTACATGAACGAAACGATCATCAGGTGATTTTAGATCACTTTGAAATGATCTGGCTAGCACTAAGTACTAATCATTAGTTGGTGCAAGTGGCATCCAACTACTCATGTCGATCACTTAGTCAGTAGTATATAGCATCCTATAATTATTATCAATTAGACCACTTTTTTCCATTCTGTTTGAATTTCTAGTGGAATATAAGGCTTCAAGCTTCCAAGTTCCAAGGGTAAAGTTAAAGGATAGCAACCCAAGCGACCGAACGAATCTTCAAAATAAACACAGTTGACCTCAGGGGGCGACTTGGGGTCTTATGCTTATTCTTTTTGCGAGTTGATCACGGATTGATGTCAGTTAGAGAACCATTGAAAACCAGCACTGGAGTACTGGACAGCTGTTTCATCCTAGTTTGGGAATCATCGGCGGTACACACCCACCGCCAGGGTTCGAACATTCGACTTTCTGGTTACAAGGCGAGCTAGCTCGTATACCATTCAGCCACTGGGACCCGATTCAATCGCCACTGCATGAATTCTAACTTCTGTCAATTCGTGATTTAGCGCAATCCCAACCAATGTCGTCGGTGGGACATCTATCCTCACCCGTGACATTTGGATGAACCTCACTGGTCACGATTTCTGACCCAAAACTCCAGGAAACTCCATTCTGTAGCAAGTCAGTCACTAGCAAGCATCAGATTAATTTTCTTATACTTGTCCCTAAACTAACCAAATATCCTGTTTCATATTCTCATATTTCTTTCATTTTTCTACATATATGTGTGTGATTTCTTTCGTCTACTTTTACAAACTTGCTCTGCATGTGTGTGTGTTTCAAAAAATCATAGATTCTTTCGTTCCCCCGGGGTTGCTGTTTCTTAACTTGACTGTTTCAGTAACGGGATGGTTATTTGTTTTACTGGATGGATGGGATTTCAATCGGCTTTCTCTCAACCTTCAATCCTTTATGAACTTTATGAACACCGATTAGGTGAAGCTTTAGGAAAGAGTTGACAGGGGATCGAATAAAGTCCATGTTCACTGGTTGGCAAGCCGCATTTTGATATGATAGAGAAGTAATTTGGGAAGTACTTCAGCACTACGGCATGCAGTGCCCAAGTCTTTATTAATCTCATTCAACAGCTGGCTATAAGACAATGTCATGTGTCAGGTGATCCACAAAGGAAAACTCAGACAGGTGTACGAAGTGAATACAGGAGTAAGACAAGGCTGGTTGACTGCCTATTATCGCCGATGATATTCTTAATTGTGGTGGATTGAATTATGCGTCAGATTGTGTGTGGGAAGTGAGGAGACAGGAGTATGTTGGACCACCGATGAGAAGATTCTAGAAGATGTAGATTTCGTACGTGGATGATTTATGTTTAATGTTACACAAACTCGAAGACTTACAAACGAAAACCAACACACTGGTAGGAGAAGCTGGCTGATAGCGAAGACAAGACTCATCCAGGTGAACGTAGAGAAGGTGGAGGTAGGCGATGAAGATAACCGACCAACCAACGAACCGCAACACCAACACCAACAACAACAACCAGCAACAATCACCATCATCAACAGGAGAGATTTAACAGAGGTTACTCCCTGCCTTCACTTTTCCAGGAAGTGTGGTTTCAACCATGGATGAAGATGTCAAAGCCCAACAGCCACCCAGAATCTGAAAAGTAAGATATGCCTGCATCAATATGAAATCAGCTTGGAAATCTTCTGAATTCAGCAAAATACGGAACAAGATTCGGATTCGGGTCAGAAACTTGCTCTGAGTATCAACAAGAAACTCTGGCTGCGAACAAACCAACAGGCGAGAGTCGATTGCTCAACAAATATATAGGAGAAAATGGAAATGGACTGATCAGGCATACGTCACCGAGGAGACCGTCGAATGATATCGCACGCTATCCAGGCCATTAATCGAGTGGAATTCCATTGGGAAGCGATGAGTGGGTCATCAGTGCTAGGGTGAAATGGAGGAGATCGTGTGTTGGGGAGGAGGAGGAGGAGGAGGAGGAGGAGGAGGTGAGAGATTGTGGGTGATCGTGGACCCAGCTGAAGAGGATGGCAGAAGACAGAAGAAAGTGGAGATGTGTTGTTGAAGCCATATGTTCCACACAGAACCCAAGAGAGTAATAATAATAATAATAAAAGATACGTGAAGAAAGTGACGTCTTTCAAATTTGTTCCGTTGATAGTAAACGGTGCTTTCTGTTGACTGGTTGGTTGTCTTCATCGCCTCAGTTTTCCCTATGTCCACTCTGAGTCATGTCTTGGCTGCCTGGCTCTTCTGCAAACATGCTAGTTTTCTCCTATAAGTCCTGGGGTTTCTGTGATACTAGACAGAAATCATCCAGGAGGCCGAGGTATTCTAGAGTTTTCTTATCGGTTGAACGTATTCCTGACTTTCTCACTCTCCACAGTTTAACACAATCGAGTTCACTAAATTTAGAAATATCATTGATGATA